ACTCAAACTGTGACTTAATCAGACAACTTTTTTGGCGATCCTACTCAAAACACTGTTTCGCAGGAGCACACTGTAGCGAAAGGAGTGTGTCATCACATGATTAAACATAAAGCATTAGCTTAGGGTGGACTTTCAGCTGTCGGAAACGTTTGGAAAAGTAAATAATACTGTGATCAATTGGCCTTCTGCCCCATCCCATTGTTGTATTACACCTTGAAAGTAACAAACTGTGTAATATTTCAGACATCGGCATATGCATACCATGGCTATTCGACCATCGAAACAATGGGACCGTCAAACGGATGTCGCTACAAGAACAGAACTTGCACCACCAAGGCAGGAGCAGTCGTGATATGGGAACCGGAACAAAGGAGAATTGCATGCATGTCATCGTCTCAGTCATGAAGGGAACGTTAGTAGATGAGGTTTGGTTAAGTGATTCTGAGGCATTGTCATTCCTCACTGTACTAATCAATCTGATTGTGGACATTCTCTTATTCAAACTGATCACGGTTATGCTGTAAAGCTCTCATCCAATATCGCGTCAAAAACGACAACTCAGGGATTCAACTCTGGAACAAACTGAAATTGAACTACGAATCGATTAGGAGCCTAAATTCAGCAGTCGACAAAAATATGCAAAACTCTTTCAGAACATTATTCATTCCTTTCTCTTCGTAACTCAGTTCCGTCAGTGCATCACTGATAGCGCCATATCCACATTGCAACACTCCGATATCAAAGCGAAATATTTAGGGGACTGCGCGCACAAAAGTATGCGCTGCCATAACATCGTCTCTTTCCCTTAAATACATTCAATTTGTCCTGTTACTCTGATCCTTCCACAACTGTAATCCTTCCAAATGAGTCTCATAGAAAATAATTATCGATCCCACTAAGAAATTTTGTCAAACAAAGCAAATTCAATCCTATGTTCAAATTTTATCCTCTGAATCTTCTAACATTTTCAATCTAATTATAAAATTTTATCCACTAACCGGTGTCTATGGGGTTAGTTCACTCGCAAATATTACAGTGGTTCAATATTCCACTAATTGTTCACAACATGGATTTACTTGCCTTCCCTTTATTTCACAATTTACTTATTAAAAACCTAAGTGAGCCTAGACATCAATTCAGTAAATTACGGCT